AGAGCGAAATTGGAAAATGAATTTTTAACTGAGAAAAAATTGGTGCAAGTCGATCATGGTTTGGTTTACTTCTGATAAGCTTAATATTGGTATTGTTAAAATATTATAAATTGCATATATTAAACTCTTGTGTATTACAAAGTAGAAGACCCTATTTATAGGGTTACAAATAACTATAAAAGGAAATAACGTGAAAGGAAAAATTGGGTAATAATTACACAATCAATTGCCAAAGAAAATAATCCTATGCTAAAAGAAAAATATAATAGATATTATTCTCAACAATATTTTCCATATCTTTAACACCCTCCCTCAAACTCAATAGGGTCTAGTGACAATCATATTGAGTTTGAAAAATAAATCGATCAAGTCAAATCTTCCAAATTGATGTAGATGAAGGGGAAGCCTTCAATAGAAGAACCACAGCAAGAAGAGCAGCATAGATGCAGTAGAATAAGATAGCCAGATGCAAGAAGAAGACAACGCCAGAGAAGAAATCGAGAGAGGAGAAATGCCAATTGAACTAAATGCAAATTTCAAATTCCAATTAAACTTGACATACCAATTCCAAAATCCAACTATGCGAAATTCCAAATTCCAGATACACTGGACCAAATAACAAATCAAATTCCAGATAACTGGACCAACACCAAACCAAATGTCCAATCCCATGAACTAGGGATATACCAAACCAAATGCAAAGAAGAAGACGAAGCAGAAAAGAGGGGGGGGAGACCAAATCATCAAATCCAGATGATCACCAAACGAATTCGAAAAAGAATATCATAGAGGAGAAAAACCAATTCTTGATAAACCAACCAAGGAGAAAGAATCAGAAGAAATGAGTGACCCAAATAAAACCAAGCCCAACAGAACAAAAAACCCAAACAAAGACTAGTCCAACATTACCAAAATAAAGTGTTGGCAATCTACAGCCCATATTTATCACTCCACAAAGGAACTTGATTGCTGTCCAAAAAATAGCCCAAACTAACAAAACAACCCAATTAATCTGGCAAGAAACTACCGACACAGGTCCACCAAGAAATCAGCCAACAAAAAGATGGCCCAATTAAAAACAACGTCAGTAACCCAGTAGGAACTAACAAATGAAGGCCCAAAAATATCATTAGACCGGCCCAATAATAAACTGACCCACAGCCCTTCATCAATTAACTTAGTCCAATTACACCGGTGACCTGCCGATTAAAATCAGCCCATCTTCTTTCACACAGTGCGCTGTGTGCAATATTAGCGCTTGATTAATTTCAAAAACAAGGTCTCTTCTCAACTTTCGGCTATGAATAAACTAATTAAATAGTTAACAAACTTCAGCCCACCAACCACAACCAATTAAATCACCTTAGCCCATTAACCCAATGACAATCCCAATCACAGTAGCTTTATAGCATCAACAACCGACACTCCCTGCCGCCGGCCACACCTCCAACTAAGCTCCAAGCATCGGTCCTTCCACTGCCTAAAGCTGATACAGCCTCTTTCTTAGCCTTCCCCATCATGACTTCCAGCGATGCTTCTCTGTCGCTGCAAATTCAAGGCTGACCCATCTGCCGCCGACAACAGAGCACCGACCTCGAAGAAGAATTCACGTCGGGTTCACCAGTCACGGCCTTGAACGAGTCCTCGTAGCTCAAATACGAACCCTGCACCGAAATTGCCCAACGTCTTTCACACCCAGAATGCGTTGTGCGCTTCATTTCACTGTCCTCCACCACTGCCGATTCGCAGAAATAATTCATCCATAATCTCGTCAACATACTACCGTATTGCCAACGGCCACCACAAGCGGCTTTCCAGACCTCGAAGAAGAAGACATCGACTGCCCGAAACGCAGGTCACAGCCCCAGCAAAACACTGAAGAAACCGGCTGCCCACAGTAAGAAAATCACTGATTGTTGCAACCTCCAACACCAAATCTCTGACTCAAACCGAAAAACTGAATCAGAAATTGCACCACTAACCTAAAAAAACCCCCGTCGAAAGAGGAGTCCCAAACAACTCTACGCTCACTGCACCCGAATCCACGACTGAACTAAAAGAAAATACACAGCTGAAATCACCGAAACAATTCCTCAACTGAAATCACGACTTAAAATGCCTCACTGATCCTACACAAAGAAGAAATCACCGATAATAGAACTAAACGGAGTGAGTTTGGCCAGAAATTTTGAACCCCAGAGAAAACCGTCAATGAAAGAGTTTGCAAGTGTTGAACACGAGAGCAAGAGGTATTGATGGGTGTTGATCCTTCTGCTTCAACCTAGAAGGGCTAGCGTTATGATTTTCCTATGACTTGAATCCAAAAAAAAAAAAAATGCAGCAAAGTAAAACAAAAAAATTGGCCGGGCGAGCAGCACAATCGTCGGAAACGTAATTCAAGAATTAATTTGTTTAGGATTGGATTAGCTCTGATACCATGTTAAAATATTATAAATTGCATATATTAAACTCTTGTGTATTACAAAGTAGAAGACCCTAATTATAGGGTTACAAATAACTGTAAAAGGAAATAACGTGAAAGGAAAGATTGTATAATAATTACACAATCAATTACCAAATAAGATAATCCTACACTAAAAGAAAAAATATAATAGATATTATTCTCAACAATATTTTCCATATCTTTAACAGGTATGACTTCGATTATTATTTTATTTTTATTTTTATTTTTTTGTTTAAATTCTGGGTTCTGATACTAATCAGATTTTTAACAAAATTTGATACTTTTAAATGCACTTTTTAGTTCAAAACTCCCATATCAAAGTATCAAATGTCAAATTCTAATTAATATCATGATCAAACAAGGGCTTATGTTGTCGCTTTTGAGCTTGTAAGGAGATGATCACCACGAGGTTGCTCCGGGCTCAGTTAACTCCAAATCAACCAAAACCTCATCAAAAAAATGCCAGCCCTAGTCGATCCAAACCAAGGCACAAAATTCCAAACTTCGGTTGCTTTCTATTACCCACGAAGAGAGACGAATGGAGGTATTATTGTAGCCGCAAAGGCAGCTACTAAGGCCAAGAGAAGAAGAGAAATTGAAATTACAGAGAGAGGCGCTGATTTTCTTCTCAAAGGGAGGATATTAATTATACAATAACACACAGACGGGGTAAAAAGAATGAGGCACATATATGAGTGCAAATTAGGGTGTGACAATGGGCCGAGCCCAAAAGAATATAAAGAGTCTTTCTAAGTGGGCAATATAATAAGCCGTCCAAAGAGTTGGGAAATGGGCTATGAGCAACTCTAAT